ATCAATCTTTTACACTAACTGTTCCTGGCATATAAAATGCCTAATATAAAAATTTATACCCCATATTTATAACAGTTATTACTTCTGGGAAAGGTATTAGAAGGGGGGGGGCTCGGTGGTCAAAATTAATTAGGATTATCTCGAGTACTATAATTAAAATTTTTTTGTGTTTTTTTATTGTTTAATATTTTTATTGATTTCAGAGAGGAAAGGAGAGGGAGAGAGAGATAGAAAGAAACATCAATGATGAGAGAATCATTGATTGGCTGCCTCCTGCACGTCCCCTACTGGGGATCGAGCCCGCAAACCCAGGCATGTGCCCTTGACCAGAACTGAACCTGGGGCACTTCAGTCCGCAGGCCAGTGCTCTATCCACTGAGCCAAACTGGTTAGGGCTAAAATTTTTTACAAAAAAGAAAAATATCCATGTTACTTATACAATTAAAAACAAACAAGCTCTTAATTATTTGATTAGTACACATTCTCAGATCTCTAATTCAAATTTCATTTCCAGAAAATGGTATCACACTGTTTAATCTATAGACAACTCAGAGTTATAAAATAATTGAAGGAACTCAATTTCAACTCAAAATAAAATTAAATCACCCAATTTTATAAGCTAATGACAAAAGAAAATATGTCGAACTATAAAAATGTAAATATTTATAAATGAAAATAGCAAGACCATTTTCCAACTTTAAAAGTGCACATATGGCCCTGGCCGGGTGGCTCATTTGGTTGGAGCACTGTCCCTATACACTAAAGGAACTGAGGGTTCAATTCCAGGTCAGGGCACATACCCAGGTTGCAGATACAATCCTATATCAGGGAGCACACAGGAGACAACTGATCAATGTTTCTCTCTCTTCCTCTCTCTCTCTCTAAAAATTAATAAACATATCCTTGGGTGAGGGTTTAAAATGGTATACATATGTACTGTGTTTACTTTAATAATAATTCCTATGTGTAAAAGGAAAAAAATTCCCATTAAACATATAAATGTTATCTATTAATAAGAATAAACTTACTTAAAAAAGCTCTCATTCCAAGTTCATGGTTTTCTGATACCAACCCACAAAGAATTGATTTTTACTCAAAATAAAATTAATTTTTACTTTGAAACACGCAAAAAGACACACACAAAGGCAACTTTTGAAAATCATAAACTTCAACTAAAGGCCTTTTCAAGAAACACTATATAACTATGTTATGTGTAAACAGACAATGAAAATTACAAATTATTTTCTTAAGACATAGTCTCTAATAATCACCAACAGCCTCATCCTAGTCTACCTCTCTCTAGTTGCTGACATTAAATCTCCTTGTTTCCACTGATATTAGTCTCTCTTATCTCTTTCTACCTTCATAATACCTTATCAATCTTTTTAAAAAATATATATTTTATTGATTTTTTACAGAGAGGAAAAGGAGAAGGATAGAGAGTTAGAAACATTGATGAGAGAGAAACATCCATCAGCTGCCTCCTGCACACCCCCTACTGGGGATGTGCCCGCAACCAAGGTACATGCCCTTGACCGGAATCGAACCTGGGACCCTTGATTCCGCACGCCGACGCTCTATCCACTGAGCCAAACCGGTTAGGGCCACCTTATCAATCTTTACTGAAGCCTCATTTTGCCTGAAACACACTCCTTATCTTCTCCTGAGGAAATTTCATTCATTCCAGCAGAGGCTTCAAGTATCACTTAATACTAATGACTCTCGAATCCACATCTCCAGCTCTTTTCTCTAAGCTTCAGATCTGCATTCCAGTCAACCAAAGATGTTCCACCAAGATGTTCCCCAGGTAATACAAATTTAACTTGCCTTATACCAAAAGCATCCTCTCCCCTTCCCATTCTCCACTCAAAACTGAATGCTCCTGTCCTGGCCAGTGTGGTCAGTGGTTAGAGCAGCAGCCTACGCATCGAAGAATCACGGGTTTGATTCCCTGTCAAGGGTACATACCTGTGTTGCAGGTTCAATCCCTGATCTTTGTTGGGGTGCGTGAGGGAGGCAACCAAATCAATGTGTCTCACATTGATGCTTCTCTTTCTCCTCCCTCTTTTTCTTTTTCTCCCCCTCTCTCCCTCCCTTCCACTCTCTAAAAAAATCAATGGAAAAAATATCCTCGAATGAGGATAAACGAACAAACAAACAAAAATTGAATGCTCCTACTGGGTTCCGTATACCAGTTAACTGTAGCCATACTAACAAGACATTTTCAGCTCTTTCTCTTCTCACATCCTCTTTGCCCCCTTAGTCCCTAAATCCTATTTGAAGCTACTCCTGTGAAGTACATTTCCACTGCCATCACCCTATTCATCTCATTTGGTAACAGCCTTTTGGTTGGTCTCTCTGCCTCTAATCTCTCTAATCTAAACTATAAACTATATAATATATGTGTATATATATTTACTTAATACATATATTTAAAAACATATGTATATATATAGCTATATATAATTACATATAATACTTTAAATATGTAATCAATAGACTGAGTTTATAGTTTGAAAGTTACTATTGTAGGAAGTTGTAAAACTATAAAAGTATATATGTACTAGAGGCCCGATGCACGAAATTTGTGCCAGGGTAAGCCTTCCTTCCCCCAGCTGCTGGCACCAGCTTCCCTCTGGCACCCAGAACCCGGGCTTCCCTAGCAGCCCCGGCTTCGTCCGGAAGGTTGTCCAGAAGGATGCCCATTCTAATTAGCATATTACCCTTTTATTATTACAGATATATAGCTATATGTAATTTTTAAAAGTTTCCTTATTCTTAAGAGGCTCAACACTACTGTCTATAGAATAAGGTTCAAATTCCTTAGCACAGCTTTTAGTGTCCATCACAACTTTACCCCAATTATTATTCCCAACTTCATCGTCTACCATCCTCCTCTTAGTACTCCAGCAGATACACCACAAATATGATTCAACTTTTCTCCTCTGCTTCTGTCAATCCCTACTTCCTTGAAACATCTTCCTACCTAAGTAGTCTGTTAATCTTCCACCAAACAAAATGAACTGTTCTCCCCTCTCTGCGCCCAAATACTTTGTTCATACCTCTAGCACTGAACCTATCATAATATATTAGTATTAGAGTACAAGTCTGCCTCTGATAGCCTGAGTCCTATTCATCTTAACATTCCCATCCATTGTATGCCACATATAAGTGTGTATAAATGTTTATTTAATTGAATTGAGGATGAAGCCTCAGGGGTGATCTATAATTAAGGGTTTGCTAGAGAGAGGAGAATATGCATGGAGGAAAAAGAAGTCAGAAGAAAGACAACTAGGAAAAAGCAATGTCATTAAACTGTTTTTTTCCTTGGCAATCTAAAGGGTGAAATGTGACGGATGCAGGTGAGGATTAAAAAACCGCTTTTTGTGACAGAAAAAGTATTGCTATGAATATAGCTGACAAGAGTTAACATATTTAACAAATAAAGATACATAAGAATAACTAAAAGATATAACTCCAGCAAATATAAAATGGGTAAAAAAATGAGTAACTAACTCATAAAAGAAAAATGAAAGACATAAAAAATTCCCCAAATTCACTAATAATCAGAAAAATACAAGTTAAAAAATCTTAATTTTTCACCTATCAAATTGTAAAATGTTTTCAATGACAATATCCAGAAGGATGAAGATATGAAATGGTTATGCCCATGCACGTCTGGGGGTAATGTAAATTAGTACAATATTTCTGGGACCAATGTAAAAACATATATAGAGGAAATCCTAAAAATATTCATACCCTTTGCCTCAGTATTTTCACTTTTAAAAATTTATACTAAAAAAATGGACATGCAAAAATATATGCACAAGGATGTTCACAGCAGCACCATTTAGAGCACCAAAAATCTGTAATCCTAGATGTTTACCAACAAAGAAGCAGTTAAAATAATACATTCCTAGGCAAAAGATATTATATAACAAATATTTTTAAAACATATTTACTAACACAGGAAGATCATAGCTTGCTATTAAATGAAAAAGGAAAAAACTGAACATAGAATGGAATACAAAATGAGAAGAAATATACAAATTCTTAACTATGTATAGTTATTCCTGTGCAGAGTCATTATTAGTCACTAAGATTATGTAATAGTTTTAAAATTAAGAAAAACTATGTTGTTTTTAAGGTTACTTGATTTTCCCTAAATGATTTTTGCAAACTTAAAGGAAGAATATAGACCGTTTGTTAAAAAGAGTTCAATAGCAAAGCAGAAACAAATGGTGGTTAAGAGAACTAAGTCAAATAAGCTTAATCATTTAAACTGTAGGAGACCTGGACATATTTCAAATCAGAAAGGAGCGATGCTGATGATGAAATTCAGGATACTAAAGGGAAGAGAATAATACATGTAAATTATAGACCTCTACCTGTTATTAAAATACAAAGATACTGGTACAAAGATCATGAATGTGACACATATGTAGTCCACTGAGGCTCAGACAATTATTTAAGAAGTAGAGTTATTGGTCACCAATATAAACAGACAGAAAACATATTATCATATTAGAGTGAATTAATTAGTTCTATTGGAAAAACTTCAAAAACAGAAGTTCTTTGGGGTATCAAATACTGTGATCTTTGTATAAAACATTCTTGAACCATTTAACATAAAACATACTGAACATTTACTAAATGTAAGACACTCTGTGAGCGATAGCCTCTGCTCCATAAATATCATATTCAACTAGATATTAAACAACAAACTGATGAACAAGATATTAAACAACAAATCGATGAACAAGCGTGATGAGTACTTTGGAGAGGGACCCATCAGGTGTAAGGAAACATAGGACACCAAGACCAGGAAGGATCAAATTAAACATCAGATGAACAAATGAACATGAAGACTAGAGAAAAGGATTAGAAATGCTGAGCATACATTATTGTTGTTTATAACACTCTATACTTAGAGAAAGAATGAACATAAAAACCACTGTTGTGATTAAAGATAATTATGAGTAGTAATTATCTTTACTTACCTATACGAAGGTCTCTTTGTAAAACATTCTTATCATAAACATAGAAAGACAAATACTGGAAAGTTCTTGGAATCTCAAAGTAAAATTCTTCACTGAAAAATGGGCTAGAGAGAAAAAGGGGAAAGTTCATTATTATAAATTTAACAGTATCCTCAAATAATATTTTCAATAAAATTAAATTACACACTAAAAAACTGTAAGAAAAGCTTCAAAAGCTCCAAAATAATTCTCTATGCTAAATTTCAACCAAATACTGTACAAACCAAGTTGAACTCTGAAAGGACCTCAATTGCGAGGTTGAGCTCTGAACACACAGCTTTTCACATGTGAACAGAAGGAATTGTCTACGGTCATGCTCATCTAAAGTGGACACAAATGAGAGCGGAGGACAGTGTCATCATCATCTCAGAAATATGTAAAGCTATATTAATTACAATAATACGTAACACCTAAAATGGGTAATGTCACATAACACGCTACTTTAAAATATATTTTAAAATATAAAAGTTATTTTTTTAATCAACTTTACTGAGATATACATTACATATAATAAAATTCAAAGTATAAAGACTCATTATTTTTGATAAGTTTATAAACTGTGTAGCCTCCTTCTCAATTAAACTAAGATATGGTAACTATATCCCCATAGTTGCCTTATGCTCTTCTGCAGTTACCCTACCATACCTGCCACAGGCAACAAGTGATCTGATTTCTATCACTATAGACAAGCGGTTCTCAACCTGTGGGTCGCGACCCCTTTGGGGGTCGAACGACCCTTTCAGAGGGGTCACCTAAGACCATCGGAAAACACATATATAATTACATATTACTTTTGTGATTAATCACATGCTTTAATTATGTTCAATTTGTAACAATGAAATTGGAGATCACCACAACATGAGGAACTGTATTAAAGGGTCGCAGCAGCCCTAGCCAGCTTGGCTCAGAGGATAGAGCATTAGTCTGCGGACTGAAGGGTCTCAGGTTTGATTCCAGCCTAGGGCACATGCCTGGGTTGCAGGCTCGATCCCCAGTAGGGGATGTGCAGGAGGCAGCCAATCAATGATTTTCTCTCATCACTGATGTTTCTATCTCTCTCTTCCCTCTCCCTTCCTCTCTGAAATCAATAAAGAAATATATTTAAAGGGTCGCGGCATTAGGAAGGTTGAGAACCACTGCTATAGACAGACCTGGTATAGAATTTCATACAAATGAAATCAAATAGTATGTTTTTAAAAATATATACCGTATTTGCCGGCGTATAAGACGATTTTTTGGCCCTGAAAAATATGCCTCCACGTGGGGGGTCGTCTTATACGCCAGGTACACTTCAGATAGACTGCCCATACTGCTTGCCCCGTGCCATAGTGGCCTCCCGATGCCCGCCCACTTCATTCCCCATACCGTTCAGGCATCAGCAGCGCTGCTGGGTGTATGCTCGGCTGTTATGCGATTTTGCTGTTATGCGATTTTACCACACTCGCAAAATAGCACACAGCCGACCATACACCCAGTATGATAGCGCAAAATCGCGAATCGCGATACCATACTGGGTGTATGGTTGGCTGTGTGCGCTTTTGCGAGTGGGGG